CTCGCAGGACAGACAGAGGCTTGCAGCAGAACAGCATGCCTGCTCTTGACCCAGTGCCCCTTTACCTTTTTATTTCCTCCTCCAGGGACGTGGCTGATGTTATCTAAGGACCCAATTTTCGATTGCACCTTATCTTTGAAGTCCAGTTTCTCAGATTTCACCTCCACCTGGCCACCGCCTGGAAGAGAAAAGCATGAGCTGGGTTAGTTAGCTCCTGTGCCAGCCAGGGCAGGCTGGAGAGAAACTGCTGAGATGTGAGCTGCTGCTCTGCGGGGGCTTCGAGCTCAGCAGAGGGTGAGGACCAGGAAAGCAGCAGCAAAAAGGATCCCATGGTGATCTGGAAAACCCAGGAGTCAGTGCAAATGGGAACCAGGGTAGAGAGACTTTCCAAAGGACACTGTGCAGAGCTGCCAGACATCCCAGCGTTTCACAGAACCAAGGGCAGGGAGCTCACCTTACATCAGACCTCTCTATTTATTTCTAAATACGTCCCATTTACAGTGACGTGGTGGCACAGACATGGGTGTCCCTGGATCACACCAGATCCCTCCCCTACTACCAAGCAGCAGGCAGACGGGAGAGGGTCTGGCAGTGACGGAGCTGGGAGCAGCGTCCAGCACCCCAGGGCTCACTCTCACGCTCCGGTCACCGTTCCCCCTGCCTCCCCCCTCTCCCTGCACCATCCCAACCCTCTCCCCATCTCCAGATGCACCCCACGCAGCTCCCAAGGACCAGCACCCGACTGCCGGATGCTGCGGAGTCGAAGGGTACCTGGTTTGTGATGGATGTTGCCCAGGGAACCACATTTGGATGTCACGTGGCTCAGGTCGACTGGCTTGTAAACGATTTGAACCTGTCCGCAGGAGAAAGGAAAAGGCAATGAGGCGATGGCCACCACGGGCAGCCTGGGGAGGGGGAGGCACAACACACACCGGCACCTGATCAAGGGAAAGGACAGCTTAAACCCCAGCGAGATTAATAATACAAAAGAAACTGTCATCAGAAACGGGAGATCATTAATGCCCGTGTGCAGGAGCCTCTCTTAACATGTCAGCATGCACGAGATCACCTCTCCACAGAGGGGGGAAGTAGAGGCAACTTTAAAGTGCTTAAGTGAGAGAGAAAGTGGAGTGGTAATTAAGATTTGCATACACATCATCCAAAAGGAGGAGATATACCAGAGAGAAAATGTAAAAAAATAAATACCTTTTCTGGTGTAAAACATAAAGCTTATGTCCACAAAAACTGAAAGAACAGAAATGATCAATGTGCACAGAACTTTTGAAAGAGTGACCAAAATATGCATTTCTGAAAAATGCTGTAACAAAAACAAGGCTCAAAAAAAAAAAAAAAAAGCAAAGCAAAGTCTAAATATCTGGTAGGAGTTCACATAACATAAATTAACATGGCAATTATAATATACTGAACCACAACAATATTTCATTATATTATGCTTTTTTTTTTAGATTTGTTTTACCCATTACGTCTCTGAACACGGGCTCCAGCAATTCCACTCAAACTGCCCCGTTCAAAGACCGGCCACGGCGCTGTGGCGTGCGTGGGGCCGGCGGCCTCTTGCGCACGGACAACCGGGTTACACGAGACGCACACACGAGGAGCGGTTAACAGGGAGCTGTTTAGTGGTTACGTTAGCGGTTAAACACCACACTGGAAAACACCAACAACTGGAGAGGTCTGGGACCGTCAGGCGTGTCAGGGACAGCAAACCACAGCACGGACACACCAGTGACACCAGGAGACAGGGGGGTGAGAAAACATCCCCGTACCCCCAGGAGTTACCTTGGAGCCTGGCTTTGGACTCACACCTGTGTGTAAATCAGCTGTTGCTGTAGTTAGTGGGGCTGTGCAGGAGAAAGCGGATCATCCCCACCTCGAGGTTGGTTCCTACTCACTGGGAAGTGTCTGGCTCCCAGTACCAGCCTGGATTTCACGTATGCGGGCGTGCTGCTCTCCCAAATCTCAGGAAGGATGTGCCAGCACCAAAGGGACCTTTGCAGAGGAGCCAACTCCTCCAAGCAGCCAGGCAGCCTCTGGACCAACCTGGCCGGAAGCCTTAGTCACTGCTCTGCATCGCCCCGAGCGCCCTGTGCTGACTCAAACGCCCCGGGGTGAAGGCGCATCCGTCAGTTGGCCCCATCGCCCTCCGAGCTAGGTGTTGGACCGTGGCTGTGTGCTCCAACTGAGGAACACTCCCCCTCCATCATGCAGCCGGGAAAAGGAGGGGGAACAGAGGCTCGGTGTCACCGTCCCACCAGCACAGAGCTTGTTCCCGATGCTCACGCACACAAAAAGGCACATTTGACAGAGACTGGAGACAGAGAGAGGGGAGAACAGCAACCCTGGGGCACATCGCAGCATAGACACAAAGACAGCATTGGGGAAAGATCACACAATTAATGTGCTGGACTGGAGGAGAGCGAGATTCAGTCGGAAGGGAGGAAACGGACCCCAAAAGGACAGCTGGCACCCCTCTGATCCCAGCCATGACCCTAAGGGGCTATGAGGAATTCGGGCACCTCTGGGACCTGGGACTGAAGCACCTCCCCTCTCCAGAGCAAGCAACTGGCAACTGAAACACTTTCTGCTCTTGTTCCAGTTCCTTTTTTTTTTTTCTGGCAGACAAGACTCCATTAACCCTTCCCATCCTGCTGGGGAGCAGTGAAGGGTCCTCCCTATGTTAGCAAGAAAGGAAAAGGGGCACAGAGTTGCTTGACTGTGAAACCAGTGCCAGAGACCTGGGGATTCCACCTCTCCACATCAGCAATGCTTAGGTCAACTTTTGCCTAATGCATCGCCTTTGTCAGAGCATCCACTGGCTTAAAGAAGAAAAAAAAAAAAAAGGTGCCAACCCCAGGTTCCTGTAGGAACAGTTCATTCCTCTTGAAACAGCAATGGCTGGGCAGGCAGCCGCTGCGACAGCGTCATGGAGGATAAAGGCCATCGAATTGCGGTGGTCTTTTGTTGCCCCTCCATCGGAGGAGCTCCAAGGCACAGCTCCGCGGCCAGGACAGCCTGTACAGCCACGCTCCGGCCACGTCAGCACGTGGCTTTGCTCCAAGCGCCCGCACGCAAAGCTAGGCTGCTGCTTTCTGTGTCAACGCAGCCAGGCAGCGAGCACACAATTTTCACTGCTGGCAGAGCCTGGGGAGGGATGACAACCTCCAGCCAAAAATCTAGATAATTCTTAACCCACTGCAGCTGCGAACGCTTGCCGGTGGTGTGAGTTCTCAGTGGAGAAAAGGATGAGCTCACCACACTGTGCTGAAGCTAATTACCAGCCACAGCACAGACGATTTCTGACGAACACTAACTCCTGGCGTAACAAGTGGTCCACCGTGCACCAGGCAGTCCAGCCAGTGCAGGACCCTGGGGTAAGAAAGAGAAGAACAGCCATGGAACCTGCTTCACAGAGGTCTGACCTCCACGAAGCAGCTCCTCTGGCCCATTAAATAAATGCAGAATGGCATCAAATTAAAGATGGAGGTTGGAAACCCGGTTATGTACCAATGTGTATGTGCCAAGCCCTCTGCAATGCTCAGTTTTTCAGGGAGGACATCCACAGAGATCAGAAACAGCACAAAGAAAATCCATTGGGAACACCTGAGAGGCACCAGAGAGCTTCCTCAGATGTCTGGGGTTCTCAGTGATGCTCCTTACTTGGTCCATCATCCTTCCTGGACCCAAACTCTGTCTCCAGAGAGACTGATGTAAATCCCCCAACCTCTGTGGAGTTTCTCCAGGTTTCTGGCACAGCAACTGAAAGCTGAGTCCAGCTATTTGTCTGGGAATGTCTGGAAATACCAGGGTTCAAATCAATTAATTCATTATTACTTTAGGCTCAGCCTCCATGGGCACTGCCTAACATGCTCCAGACTCATTCATTAGACAGGAGAAGCTTAACATTTGCATGGATCATACTTGCCTGATGGGAACGGGCAGGAACCTGCGCTTTCTTTCACATGTTCTGCAGACTCATGTGCAATTTCGCAGTACATTAAGCAACGAGGACTGCGTTTGCTTGTAAATCTACCCACCTACTGCATCAGCAACTGCGTCACTGTCTGCTAGAGGCCGCCCGTCCTGCAGACAGTGAGGCACTCAGCCTTCCAGGTAGCGTAAAACCTTCGGGTTAACAGGATGTTTTGTTACAGACATGGTTTCAACAAGGGTCAGTTAGCTCTGTCCATGTCAGGCATGTACAGGACTTGTTAGGATTCATCTAACCATGTCATTTGGGTTAATGGGGTTAAACAACAGCACGTCGCCAATCGCTATCTGACGGCAGGGTCGCTGCAGATAGCATCGGCGATTTAGTGTATACAGCATGCCACCGAAAAGAAGGATTATTACAGTGCATTCAAAGTGTGAAGGTACTCACACTGCCTCCTCCCGGGATGTGTTTGATATTATCCTTTGAGCCACACCTGGATTGAACGCTGCTAAAGTCCAACTTCTTATTAACAATCTGCACCTTTGGTAGCCAGAAAAGAGTCATTGCACGTCACCAATAGCTATCTGACGGCAGGGTCGCTGCAGATAGCATTGGTGGTTTAGTGTACACAACATGCCACTTATTATAATAAGAACTATGATAGTGCATTGAAAGTGTGAAGGTACTCACACTGCCTCCTCCTGGGATGTGTTTGATATTATCCTTTGAGCCACACTTGGATTGAACGCTGCTAAAGTCCAGCTTCTTATTAATAATCTGCACCTTTGGTAGCCAGAAAAGAGCGTGAGAAACAACATGACCATCTGCAACCTGACCATGCGTTTTATCACTAAAACCAGGAACCTGCCTTCTAGTGCCAAGAGCAAAGGAGAATCTCGGGCTTGCTGCTCAGATTCATCTACACATGGGCTGGAAACTGAAGATGGAGGTGGGCAGGTTACCACTAGAGACTGGGTAAGTCTGGCTTGCATGGCAGCCCTGGTTTCCAGGCCAGAAACACTTGAAAAGAGCCAGCTCACCCGGTTTTCTTTCCCTGAACAAACTGGGCAGCAAACAGGCTGGAAGGCACAAGCGGTCTGAGACTTGGCTTCTGCAGAGCCAGCGGAAGGAGGAAGATGGAGCCGAGAGGAAAATGCCAGCTCAGCCCCATCTCCCCTGCCGGGCAGCATGCCCCCTCTCCAGGACAGAGATAGGCGGCTTCACATTTCAGCAGCTTCAGCAAACTGGGCAAACGGGTGCAGTTGGCCAGGGCAGCCGGCCGGTGTGTCCAGCATGGTGTGGGAGAGGCCGCCTGAGCGCTGCGCTGTGCAGGGCTCAAACTCCCTCTACAGTTACAGAGAGAAAAAGCAAACGCTGCCAGGGATGCAGTCTGCTCAGCTCCTGTACGGATGAGATAAAGGGGCACCACAGACCAACCCCAAGGCAGCTGCTCTGTTGAATATTCTTAACACCACCTCGGGTGGGAGAGAGGCTGGAAACGGCTCGGGGCCACGGGGGGAAACACCCCACGCCAACTGCACCCTCCAGTCCCAAAGCTCGCCTGCCCTCTCTGCCACACACAGATTTCTGTCCTGATGAAGCTGTTTCCATTGAGGGCTCGTTTTCCCCATCTGGTGTTGTAAGGGCAGCTACGCTGGAGTGACCCCATGCACAGGAGCAGCTATTCCAGACAAAGCAAAGACAAAGATAGCTCCTGCTCCTTCCCCGACACAAACCCAAGTGGTTTTACAACCTATTCTAGTACAAACCAGAGGTAAATGCAGGTAAAACCCAGCAGGCACACCGGCCTGTGCTCCCCCAGGAGAAAGCGTGGCTGAAGTACAACCCTCATAAGAGGGAGAGACACAGCAAGAGAGAGCAGCGTCACATCGCACTGCACATGCAGTCCCTGGATCCCTGGACGACAACATCCCCGAAGCTGGCTGACCAGGCGACCTCACCCTCCATTTCAGCATGTCCCCAGCCTGCTGCTGCTACTCCTCACTTGGTGCACAAGAAGCACCAAGGCCAACACATGCCTCTCAGCATAATTTTCCAAGTTCACATCAACTAAGCCTCCAAATCAGGATCCAGTTCTGTGAGACCAGGCTTTGCCAGAGCTGTACTCGGTGATCCAGCAACAGCAAAAGCACTCAGACAATGCGGAAATACTGGAAGAGACCTGGCCTGGCTGACTCCTGGTGTGTGCGCTCCAGGTACTTTTGCTTCCCTACGCTGGGGGTCTAAAATCTGCACCGAGAACAGGCTCCAGACTCATCTTCTGGCCACATCAAACTCTTTGGATCAGCCCCTTCTGCCCCAGCTGCAACCGATCTGCTAAGAGCAGCTTTGTGCCCCACAAAATCCCCAACAGAGCATCCAGCCATTCTCCCCTGCAAACAGCAATGAATTGTCCCAAATTCAGCTGTTCTTACTCTTCAGTCACAACAATAAACAACAATGTTGCCTGAGAGAGAAGCTGACAGAGAAAAAAACCTTGTAAAAGCTGGATTAAAAAGAACAAGCAAACAATTTAACCAATTTACAGTAAATGGAAAGTTTCCTTCTAAAATCCCTGAAGAGCAGTGTTTTGCGGGGGCAGCAGGAAAACCTTATGCCTTGTGCTAAGTGGGCAGGAGGGCTGCGGCCCCGGGACACGAGCGGCTGGAAGGACACAGGCTGCTCTGCTCAGGACCAGTGGCCAGAGTAGCCCTGCCCAGGCTCCAGAGCCACCCCCCGGACCGTAGTACAGAGTAAAACATGCGTTATCCAGTAAATCACCAGCCACGGCAAGAAAGGCACATCAGGAAATGGGAAAGCATGCTGCTATTTGAGATGGTGAAGAGAGGCCATCTCAAAGCCTCCTGCCATGGCAAAGTCAAACATTTGGAGCCACAGATCACACAAAATGGCATGCGCCACACTCAGGGAAGATTTGTCATGGCTGTGTTGCACGAGCAGCCGCAGAGCAAGGTCTGCCAGGCAGTGTTCCTCACCCCGGGGCAGGCAAGCACAAGCACAGGGGGACTCCTGACTCCAGATGTGCAGTTCTGTCATTTAACATCTGTACAAGAGCCACCGGGCCGTCACCAGTCAGAGAAAACGTGCTTTCAAGTCTCTACCCATGCGGAAAGGAAGATTTTATAAAAGCCTCAGAACACACCCACACAGTGCAACGGAGCAACGCAGAGAGGTCTGGAGGGGTGCTGAGCAGCCGACTGCGCAGCTGGAGCCATGGAACCGCACCCTGCAGCTCGTGGGGCTGCAGGGATGAGTTAGCTCACACCACTCCCTCACCCAGACTCCGCTGGGCTTGCAAAATGAGACCCTGGTTCCCAAGCTCTTGGAGCACGGAGTTTACTTTGCTGCTCGTGAAACAACCTCTCTGGGAGTGAAAAGTAGCAGCGGTTGAAAGGATCATAGTGCCACCGGTTCTGGCCATGGCACACTGCATCACATGGCAAGACAGTGCCTGATCGCAAAGGCAATCCAAAACCTTGCCAAGGGTTGGATCCAAAATCACAATGTTCTGAAAAATGCATCAAGCCTGGGACCCTCACATGGAGGAGCCCATCCTGCCTGTTCGCTAATGAAGAAATGGAGGCAGCGTTGAAGGGACTGCTCCGGATCACCCAGTACAGGACTCCGAAACGCAACCCTGTGTCTTGTGACTCCTTAGGGCTGTAGGTCACAGATTGCTCTCCCTAACTGGGCACCGCGAGGGAATGTCATTCCCCTGGCAGCCAGTCCATATGTTGACATGCCGCCCCATGAAAGCCACATCACAAGCTCTCTGCAGTCCTCTGCAGGACAGCTGTACCACGCTAAGCCAGGCAAGCCATTTCAGGACAAGCACCCAACCCAAACAGCCCAAAAAACCTCCAAAATCACACTCAGGCAGGAGATCAGCTGAAGCATGGCTGCCCACTGCCGTACCTCTGGCCCCAGTCGGGCTGCTGCTGCTCCAGGGAGGGCTCTCCTCTCCCACATGCAGCGTCAAGCACCCGCTGTCCCTACGAACAGCCCCCTGGAAAGCAGAGCCCACATTTACCTTGCCACCTCCGGGCTGGTGCTTCAGGTTTTCGGTTGAGCCGATTTTGGACTTGACATTTTTCAGATCAGGCATGGGTGCGGCTGACGGCTGGATGCGGCTCTTGGCAGAAGCAGGAGATTTGGGTGGTGTGCGAACCACTGCCACCTTCTTGGGCTCCCTGGCTGGTGGGGTGGGGGCAGAGAGGGAGGGCGGGAACGGCTGCCTGGAGTCCCGGGGGAGCCGGGACTGCTGTAACCGCTTCTGTCTCCAGACTTTGGCTGCTCACCTGAAGTTTGCAGACAAAGGAAGGCAAGCAGGGGATAAGCAATCTAGGTCCGCAGCCCCCTCCCCACACACTGCCTGTCTTTATGGGGCTGATCTGCCCAGTCCCAGCGCCCACCCGCTACCCCTCGTGCAGCCCATCGGCAAAGGGGAGATGGATGCACTTCCTTCTACTTCATTTTGAAGTGAAAACTGCGGCTAAAGGCAATTCTGTAGTATCTCAGAAGGAAGATGGCCTTATTGTCTGGATCATTGGTGAGATTCCCCACCCAAGCGTGACATTAGCACGCATGATGAATTACAGACAAAAGCCATTCAAACAAAACCATTTTCTATTAGAAATTTGGAAGCATTTTTACAAATTTTTTTCTGTAATTAAATAAGGCTGATCACTGAGCAGCTTAGAACTGTCCCCAGTCTGAAAAGAAATGGAAGAAAAAAGGAAAATCCTGAAACATCACCTTTCTCAGACTTTGCTGCTGCAGGAGGTGGTTTTTTCTGCTCCTTTCTGCCTGTTTAATAAATTAGAAAGATGCTTAAACATAATAAAGCTGGAAATTTAATTAACTGAAGGTTTTATGGAGCTCTGGTTAAGTATGAAATATATATATTCAGTGAAATGCACCATTGTAATGGAAATTCCCAACACCTGATGCTTTCTGGGGTTTTCTTCTCTGAGAATAATGGGCTAATCTCCATTTCTGCAATCGAAGATTTGATCCTCTTGCCCCTGGTCTTTGTGAAATATTGTCAAGAAAAAAGGAATAGATGGATTAAAAAAATGGAGCTGCCTAAATCTTCCAAACTGGAGGAAATCCCAGAGGGATAAAGCAACTGCCCTCTCTTACACATTGGCAACTCCATGAACAGAGCAGATAAAGCAGCACGCAGAAAGGCTCGCTTCAGAGGAATCGTTCCTAGCTCGGCACCCACAGCCCAGTGACAAGGCTGAGCAGCTCGGAATCACCACGCAGACCTCAACCTGCCACCCGTGCCCCTGCTTAGTGCCTGCACTGGGGCTAATTTTTTCACTCCCCCTCACATTATTGACTGGGAGCACCCCCAAAGCAGAGCCTCTGGAGTCAGAGACACCACGGGAAGGCAGCAGCACACCGCTCTCACCATCGCTTACCGGAGCTGGGAGGTGTCTTGGGGGCCGTGGGCGTCTTTGCTGGGATGCGCGTGGCATTGGTCGAGTTCCTCTGAGCCTGCCCGGCTCCAGACCGCGGCGTGGCCGTCTTCGTGCCACCTCTCATCTCCGGTCCCTGGGGATGCAAAAGCTCATGAAAAACACGGAAGTGACAATTTACAAGCTGACTGGTCCCAAGGCAGCAGGGAACCAGAGCAGAGCCATTGCAATCCCGATCATGGTGAAGCCATATCCCATTGTCTGAGACCTGCAATCTGCTCTTCCCTCACCGTGGGTATTTGTATGGCTGAACACCACAAAGGGAAACTCCAAGCTACTTTCTACATTGCAGAATAAGCCACGGAGGTGTGTGCATTTCCTATTCTCTGTGTAGCACCTGGCAGATTTGGCTCCAGCACATTTCAAATACATCTGCTGTTTACAGCCAACGCACTCATAAAACACAGCATAAAGCTGCAAAACAAAGACAAGCACGGAAGAGCATAAAAGGACCTGGAAATGCCTCAGGGAAACCAGGGAACACCCTGCAGCAATAACAGATACTTGCTGTAACGCAGAGCAAGGGGTCCACATGCTGGTGAGATGGACCCAGTTGCTTCAAACACCAAAACTGGAGCCAAGACTGGCCACGGCCACTGGCAGGGG